TCAAGTGCCTCCTGTTGAATTGTGGGTGGATGTGTCTCAGGACTGCTATAGACGGGTCCCATGGAAACATGCGTGTTTGCATTGACATGTTTGGACTCATGGATGAGGTTATTTCCTGAGACGGAGCTCCTGGTTTATTTTGAGTGAAAACTGAAGTTGCAGTGCTGAGCAGAGTTCCTGTCTCTGATCTGCAGAGTCAGAATGTGCTGAGAACACTTTCTGCCTGTTGTTGTGAAACAACCTTTAGCCGCAGATGTTGCCTTGTCAGCGACTTTAAAGCAGAAAGTCTTTTCCTGGTGCCTCAGTGACTCCGAGGCTCCCGATCACTTCAGGGTTCATGAAGTCATATGAATTCCTGTTTCTACAAACGCTGACTCTTCATGACAATAGGTGAACGCTGTAGTTTCCTGCAGTCTGTGAACGTGTTTTCTTTCACTTCATCTCCCTTCATGGGATCAGGAATATTTCTTCCATGTATTTCAGGATTTTTATCGTCATGTCAGTGTCGATGTTTTTTGGGGATAACTCTTTTTATCTGCATAAACATAAAACGTTCAAAGGCTGAGAGTTAGAGGGCGCTGTTCTTCAAATGTGTCGACACCCCCCCAGCACATCCAGTGCTTTACGATCTATATGAGACTCGACACTAAAGACTGAGACTTAAACTCCTTTGGAAAATGTTTACTGACGTTATAAAGTGAGAAGTAGAGTCATTTTCTCATAGACTTCTATAGAAACTACCAGTGGAGTCGCCCCCTGCTGGTCAGTACACAGAAGACAGGACAGCTTCTACGTCCACTTTCATGCCGCAAGCGTGATTCCATTTGGTTTTTTGGTTTGATTCTGTTCCAGCTCACTCTTGTCGATATGATCATCTACGGAGCGCTGAAAGCTGCAGACTGTTACGCCCTCCGCTGGTCCAGAGTCCTGCGTCCGCTCCTATTGGTCAACATCACGGAGGGACGGCAGGTAACAGCCTCAGTCGTGGGCTCGGTCTCACTTCTGCTCGTATACGATACAAATATTATATTAGTTTGTGTGGATGTAGTTTCATTAATGTTGTCACAGAAATGAAGTTTTACGATGTTCACGCTCTGAGGTTGAGGACGTTAATTTAAGAGCACGTTTATCTTTTATACATATCACATGGTACTTCCTGTCTGACATTTGTTTGTTGGTGCGTGTGTGTGTTTGTGTGTTTGTTCATGTGTCAGCTCCGCAGGGCGTTCAGAAGCATCCGGAACGCTCTGCCTCAGATTTTCTACGTCTTCCTGCTCTTCATGTTCAGCGTCCTCATCTTCTCCCTCATGGCCCTGAAGCTTCTGGGTAAACGGTGAGTCATCAACATCTCGTCTGTTTCATTATTAAACAACCGTTGTGTACGTGAGACAGTTTCTTCACCTCAATGAAACACGCAGTTATGAAAAGTGTCTTAGTTTCATATGGACTCAACAGAAAATATGTGCCAACTCATCACTGAGAGATTCAATATCATAAAAACAGATATAAAACTTGTGTAAAATCCTTTGACTCACAACAGGAAGTTTGACTTTGGTTTTATTCAGTTAATTTTGTTCAGATTTATGTTTCAATATATTCAAATTATACATATTTAATTGGTGAATGTCTCATTTGTATATTTGAATATCACATTTCAGAAAAAACTAAAATAAAGGTTCTTATCAACTTTTTGAAGCTTGATGGTGAAATCAGTTTGTTGAACTTTGTGAGGCTGATTTATAAATCTCACGTTGTTGGAGTCGAATGATTTTACAGCTGACGGATGTGACATGTGTGTTTTCTCTTCAGAGGTCTGAAGACCATTGACGGATCTCCGTACTTCACCAACTACCTGGAGATCGTCTTTGACCTGTACGTCCTCGTCACCACGGCCAACAGCCCCGACGTCATGTAAGACGCTTCTGAAACCTCTCGTCAGTGTGTCGTCACCGATCTGTTTCTTTTTATTGCTGGCAGCTTCAATTTCCCTCAAAATTGAAATAGAATTTAACGTTTAAAGCAGAATTCCAGAATATGAGCTTTGTATTTATCAACATTTCGTCCTCGGTGAGCTCGTGGCCAAACTCTGCGTCATGTAGCCACGATTTCTGATGCTACCTTTTTTGTTTTCTGCTTCTCGTTGGCAGGATGCCGGCGTACAACTCCAGCTTCGTCTTCGCCATCTTCTTCATCATCTACATCCTCATCAACACCTACATATTCATGTCCGTCTTCTTGGCCGTCGTCTACAACAACTACAAAAAATACCTGAAGGTGCTAACATGGTTTCAGTCCCACTCAAAGACACAAAACACACTTTCACAGTGGCCTCAGAACCAGGTTTTATCCAAAGCTAACGACACATTATCAACCCTAGAAGCTAAGGAAGCCAAATCAGAGCTGGTTTTATGAAGATTTATCCACGAGAGCAACACGATATTTGCTGATTGATAACTTGATAACTCGAAGGCTGTGTAATCTATGACTGTCACTCTTCTTCTTCAAATAAACACAGTTGCAGGTTTATCACCCCAACATGTCCTTGTCCAACAGGAGGAGGTGCGGCAGCTGGTCAGGGCCAAAAGGCACAAGATGGTGCGAGCGTTTGCCGTCCTGCAGGAGCCAAGGGGGGAGGGGGTTGAACCGGTGGTGACCCAGGCCGACTGGAACCAAGTGGTACGACTGGTCCAGCCCGATATCAGCAACGCCCACAGAGAGCTGCTGTGGAGCGTCTCCGACAACAAGAACCAGGGGTTCATCGGTGGGTCACGCACACAAACAGTTTCTCTCCTCCTTCAACTACTCGTACTAACTCTATGGTTGATTGATTGACAGGTAAAGTGGCGTTCGTCCAGCTGGCCGACCTCCTGAACATCGAGGTGATCACGCTCAAGTCGAGACCGCACCCACTTCACCGTTTGTGCCCCGCCCTCTACCTGTCAGGGCCCAGCCGCCTACTTTGCAGATTGATCCAACACAGGTGAGGGGGCGGGGTTAACGGTTAAATGTTGACGAGACGTGACCTCAGAAACAACATGGAGGAAGTTACAGACACACTAGACCTCTGCTCTGTGTGTTCCTGCTCGTAGGGCCTTTGTGATCATGTACGACCTCATCATCCTGGTGAACGCCGTCTTCATCGGGCTGGACGAGGAGAATCCCCTGATCGCCAACTCAGAGTGGGTCTTTCTGGCTCTCTACCTGCTGGAGATCCTCCTGAAGCTCTACGTGTTCGAGCCCAGAGCGTTCTTCTCCAGGCACAACTTCTGGAACTGGTGAGGACACGATGTTCTTCACCTAATGTCACATTTACCATCGAAATAGGATTCCACAGAATCTTTGTCCCAAATAACCAAAGGATTCTGACGTCAGTTCAGAATTTTGACCCCTTATTACGACACCTGAATTTGATTGGACAATGACGGTCCAATCACGAAGCCAGTCCAGAGGGCAGGTGGTTCTGTGGCCTTGACCTCTGCCACAGGCCCTGAACGGTCGAGTCGATGGTCTAGATGGACAAACGGAGTCGTTTGTATGTCCTGGTGCTCGGACAGAGACGCAGTTTGTGCTCAGAGACGTTACAACAAATAAATCATCTAATCTCATAAAGACAATTTCAACTTTACATTTTCTAAGTTAGTTTTTTTCATTTCCAGGTTCGACACCATCATCGTTGTGTCTGCTCTCACCGCCACGATCGTCAACTCCGCTATGAAGTCATGTGAGTGCTGTTTGTAAACTGAACATCGTTGAGTTCTAGAGAAACGCGTTTCCTCTTTACTTCCTCTTTGTCTTTTGACATCTTTATTCCCGTCCTGTTGTAGCTGGAGGTTACACCAGTCGTCAGATCCTGGACATCGTCTTCATCCTGCGAGTCCTCAGGCTGATCCGGGTGGTGGACAGCATCAAAAGGTTTGACCTCGGACAGATTCAGTTATTTATACCATCAGGAAATAGAACTGTAGAACAGTAGATGAAGGTTTGTTTGATGATTGTTGTTTGTTCACGGCTGAATTTGTTGCTTCACTAACGATGACAACCGTCGTCTCTGTTATAGGTTTCGTACGATCATCAACACCCTGATCAGGATTGGACCAGCAATCCTCACGTTTGGACAACTCATCCTCGTAGGTCAACAGCAGAAAAATAAAACGTATTGCTATGCACCTAAAATTAAAATTTCCCTCAGGAAACAGGAAGTAACAATGTTTTTATAGCCGAGTCTTTGCTATGCTAGCAGCTCTGTGACGCTGTTCTTAGACTTGAGCTAAATGCTAACATGCTGATGTTTAGTAAATGTAATGTTTACTATGTTCACCATCTTAGTGTAGCGTTAGTTAGCATGCTAATGGTACATTTAATACAAATTCAAATTATGACCCGATGATGGCGCTAAATGAAAACTACAGGTATAACAGTTTATCCACTGGGGATCATGAGCGGTGATGCATCCACAGGTGGTGTACTACATCTTTGCCATGGTGGGGATGGAGCTGTTCAAAGACAAGGTGAAGTTTTACGAGGACCCCAACGACCCGGAGAAGTTCTACTGTGGAAACAGTCGACTGAGAGGAACGGCCTTCGCTCACCTCAACTACTGCAAAAACAACTTCAACAACGTGGTGTCGTCCTTCATCCTGCTGGTGGAGCTGACGGTGGTCAACCAGTGGCACGATATCCTAACACACACACACACACACACACACACACACACACACACGATGGAAGTCTCGGTTGTTTCTCTGTTTCGTCTCTTCACGTCTTTGCTGATTCACTCTCATGTGTCGAACTGTGCGATTCCTTAACGTGACTCCACTGCTCAGCAGCGGCTTCGCCATCGTCACCCACATGTCGGCCAGGATCTTCTTCGTCCTCTTCCACATCTTGGTCGTCATCGTCATCATCAAGTAAGACGAATGTGATCCCCTCGTTCTCATCAGATACTAACCGATACTTGAAACTATTTTTAATTTTGTCACTAAACACAAATATGGACTTAAGGAAAATGTATTTTTTGAATTTGAATGTAATAGATCCACGATTAAACCACCTACAGAGGGCGCTGCTGCTTCTGAAAACCAGAATAATCTCGACCCGCGACTGTTTTTTCTTTCAGCATCTTTGTGGCGTTTGTCCTCGAAGCGTTCTTCGTAGAATACTCGCTGGAGAAGAGCGACCTGCAGACGTCTCTGGAGAAGAAGATCTCGGAGCTGGAGCTGGCTGTGGAGCAGTACGTTACCATGACAACCATGGACACAAAACTATAAACACTGATCTTCACACGTTTATTAACTAAAACACAGCGACTGATGATTGTTTCAGAACAAAACTAAAAAAACATTTTGTCCTTTTAAAGAGCCTCAGCTGTTGAGTCTAAATAATGTCAAAATAATTGTCCCAGGTTTTGTCCTTTTCTGTTTCGCAAATAATAATTTAAAAATGTGACTCAATATTTAAAATCAGTTCAGTCCAGGAACATTGACTTGTTTCATGCCCTGCGTGTCGTCTGGAAGGTAACAGCTCTGACAGTTTTTAGAACATGATGTTTTCACAGTTGGATGTTAACTGTGCTGTTGTGCGTGTCCATGATGTTTTGTTGCTCAGGGAGAAGCTGCAGGAAAACCTGGTGAACGCCATGGAAACAATTGACAACGACCTGGGAACCGACCAATCAGCGACATCGAACAAACCGACCCTGATGTTTAAAATTGCTTCAAAAAGTAAGAAACACTGAGCTGAAGGCGTCGGGTCACCTGTGGAGAAAAGACGAGATCAATTTAAACAATTCGAGAATATTTGTTACACTTTTATTTTGAAAAGTGTTTCGTTGATATAAGAAAAAAAACTCCTTTACGAGTTACCATCACTCAAACATTCATGGTTGTCCTTCCTTTGATCCTTTGATTGACACTCTTCTAAATATGATGTCTCCTTCATCTTTGGTATAATGACACCTCGGTGGAGAGTTAGCGCCGCCTACTGCTCCTCCATCACTGAATCAGTTCCTAAAGCTCAAGTTCAACTATTTGTGGAGATTCTTATTTGTCTTTAGCCAATTTTTTGAAAATTTGGTGAAAATTTCCAAAACATTTTGCTGAAAACTGCAGCGTGAAGCAAAATATGAACATGACAGTTTTATAAAATGAAACTCCAGGTTATTATTTTATCGCGCTGTGCAGCTTTCAGTTTTTTTTCTTTCTTGTTTTCAAATCATCGTATCTAAAAATTTTACTTTTGTGAAAATTTAGTTTAAAATGAAATATTTCAACATTCGAATAATTCGAAATCTCACAATAACATGTCACAGTGACGTGAAATAACTCAGTGAGTCTGTCGATCACAATATTGATCACATCACTGACTCTTTCTTCCGTGTGGCAGGATATCGGACGGTGGACGCCTTGTTGCAGCGGATGTTTGAGGCCGATCTCGACCCAGAAGACTTTGCTGAGAATGACGACGCTCAGAGCGACGGGAACTTTGCGAACCCGTTGTTCAGCTCTGTGTAAACATGAAGGGAACATTTATTTTTATATTTCTGTCGTGTACTTCTCTGAAGAGACACAAATGAAACCTGTATTTTTCACATAAAGACTATTTACACTTAAAGTTTATTCCTTTGTTTTATGTTCATGTC